GCTGTCAGAATCGGACATTGTAATTGAGGGCACACTACCACGAAGCGGATCACCAAGGCCTACAGACCAACCACTTCACGGCAGCACCCAAACGTAGCTACGAACAACCCGAATTAGCCAACACTGTCGCGTGCCGTGACACAAGAGCCACACTGGCTCGTACGCCATACGGCAAAGACACTCCGTATTCGCAGAAAACCTTAGTTTTCAACGCTTCACGTAGAAAACTGTCAGATTACACTGTGGGCTGAAAAGCCGGGGGCCCAGGGCCGAAGCACAGTGCGGGGGGCGGGTGCATACGGCTGGTTAGTCTCATGCACTCCGCCCCCGGGTCAGGCCGCATGGGAAACGAACCCACAGAGAAGACGTGTCTAAATAGAATGGCCCTCCGAGGCCTCGGGCCACATCTCCCCCACATCCGAGCCCCGCTACCACCACCAGACCTCAACCTCCCAAACACCAGAAAACCTACGTCCTTCTGGCACTCTCACCGCCATCTCCCCCCTCCCCTGTCCGAGCGACCCCACCTCCCCCCGGCTCTCCAGCACCCTACAACCTCGGAGCGGCACTAGGGAAGGAAAAGGGTTCTTCCCTGCACGACGTGACCGCCTCCATTCCCCATCCTTCTCCTCTCCCTCTCCCGTCTCGGGGTTCCCTCTCACCTATTCCCTTGTCCTCCAATCCCCATCCCCCTCGAACTCCTATACCCCCCTAAGCCCTGCCCTCCAAACTAAGCTCAAAGCACTCTTAGGCAATAATTTCCACCGCTTCAGCGCACCGCAGTGCACCTTCTGAAACCAACAGGATTGGGTGGTCGGGTCCCACCTTGTCCCAGCCTCTCACTCTGGGAAAAGGGGGGTCATTTTACCCGTAATTTTTGGTCAATCCACCCGTAATTTGACAGAAATTACGGGTCCGTAACACGTTACGGGTCCCGTAATTTGAGCACAAGGATACAGGTGAACATTTACGGGTGAAGACCCAGTGATTACGGGTGGATTTTACGCTGTGCTGGAGGTTAATTACGGGCGCATGTAACCAATTACACGCAAAATTATGGGTGAAGACCCAGTGATTACGGGTGGATTTTACGTGGTGCTGGAGGTTAATTACGGGCGCATGTAACCAATTACACGCGAAATTATGGGTGAAGACCCAGTTATTACGGGTGGATATTACACGGTGCTGGAGGTGAATTACGGGCGCATGTAACCAATTACACGCGAAATTATGGGTGTAGACCCAGTTATTACGGGTGGATTTTACGCGGTGCTGGAGGTGAATTACGGGCGCATGTAACCAATTACACGCAAAATTACGGGTGAAGACCCAGTGATTACGGGTGGATATTTACGCGGTGCTGGAGGTAAATTATGGGCGCATGTAACCAATTACACGCAAAATTACGGGTGTAGACCCAGTGATTACGGGTGAATATTCACGCGGTGCTGCAGGTAAATTATGGGCACATGTAACCAATTACACGTACAATTACGGGTCGACCCAGTGATTACGGGTGAATATTACGCGGTGCTGCAGGTAAATTACGGGCACATGTAACCAATTAAACGTACAATTACGGGTGAAGACCCTGTTATCACGGGTTACACAGGCAGATATTACTCTGCGATGTGACGCTTACTGCATGTTAAATTAACGATTGGTGAATACTTGCGGCAAGCCTCAAAATGGACGCACACCCCTTGTCAAAGTAGCCTAAGTCTCAGTGTGCTTGTGGACCAAGGCGCTTTGGACTCACAACGCCAACCAGCCAGCCTGACAGCCTGATGCATTCATCTCAACCATCGTCCTCGAAAACAGCATTCATGTCACCCCCCATACAGCAAGTGCTCGCCAAGGAGTCTCACCACCACTTGCAGAGTTCGTGCCTACTCCTACGGATGAAACCCCCGATGCATGACATGTACAGGCACCTATTGGGATTGGTCTGTCCCATCCTGCCTGGGGCCGACATGTGTGTGCACCCCCAAGCGCTCATCACTGCTGCCATGTTACTGCTCACTTCCACCACTGTCGCTGCTGCCACTGCCACTGCTGCTGCTGCTAGCTTCGCTATATTTGCCCGGGTCCTCCGAGCTGGACTCCTCCCCAGCGCCAGCGGCTAGGACCTCTTCCTCACCAGCATCCGACCCACCCTCCGAGCTACCCTCCTCTGTCCGCCCCCTCCGCCCTCCCTTGCCTGCGCCGCCCTTCCCCGCACCTCTGGTGGTCCCCTTGCTTGCACCCCTGCCCCAGCCTGCGCCCTTGTTCCCCTTCTGCCGTTTATTTCCAACCGTGCGCCCCGACTGTAGCAAGCTACATTTCCCTTAGAATATTTTAACGATTACTTTTAACAATAACTGTTAATTTGTTAAACGTTCTGACTCAAGTTTCGTACATGTTCCGAGTTTCGTCACATGTCACGAACTGGGCAGCTGTTAGTAAGCGAATCTAACGGGATGGGGCCCCGAGCCCCAACAACATTATCCTAGTACGGCAAGGTCCGTAGTAGAGATTATCCGGCAGGTAGGCCGAGATATAAGCTACCCGGGCGGGGTGTTCTGGCCAGACACTGACGTATCACACTACTGGGTGTTCGGAGTTCAAGACTCCGCTGCCGCCGTCTCTAACCGTTACGTACACATCTTATGTACGCTAGTGCTTGCCGCTTGGTTGGACTTCTTCCTACATCGACGAGGACTAATAACTCCACGCTTCCGCTCTGCCAGTCCTCCCGTCAGGTGAGCGACTGCTACATTGGTATCGAGCGTCAAGTTCGATCCTCCTTGACGCGATGCGCTACAATAAGGCCACGCAAAAGCGTTTGACTAAATTCCTTAAGCTTCAAAAATCGTATGAAAGGTATCGCGAAGCATCCCTTCAGGAACAGGACCCTGCTGCGCCCGAGGCTACTGAGTCCGACGACGAAGATGAACGCCCTTTGGCTATTCCCAATAAGGAACATCATATTAATAATATTCCTGTTAATTGTCCACAGATGGACGTTGATCCTCCGGCGGAATCGCCTTCGGAGACCGCGCAGCAGGCCTCGCCTTCTACGGGCGGGCTTCCGGCGCGTACGCCAGCGCAGGCTGCGGCAGCCGTGCAGGTCCAAGAAATGCTTCGCGCGGCTCGTGACAATCAATTCCCCGCGCTTCAAGCGGAATTATCTTCCTTTAAGGGAGAGGTTCACGGCATTCTCGCCGAATACGGCGAGCGCCTGGGCGAAATAACCTCCGCCCTGAAGGATGTCCAAGCGCAGCTTCGGTATTTGACACCTACGTCGCCGCCTCCGAGTACGTCGGACACTAGGCGTAAGATGATAATTATTGATGGCATCTGCAAGACGCTGGACAGCAATCTGGCCGCGTTTCTTGACACGGATATGCTGCAGAATTGCGCTTTCCAGGCGCTTCTGCAGCGCCACCTTACTCCCGAAGTCCGTTTGGATGAGGTCAAGCAGCTCTGGAGC